AACTTCTTTACACCAAAAAACAAACAAACAGAAATATGATGTTTACTTTAAACAGGAGAATTTCAAAGGAAATCAAATGTGGTGTTTGAGTATTCACTATTCCTGGTTAAATAAAGCGAGAAAACAAAGTCAAATTCGACCAAAAGTGAATTTATGCAAATTTATTATCCACACTTTTTCGCACTATTTTAGAAAAAAATCACACTATTTTTGATTTTTTTCTGCACTCTACCAGATTCACTGCACAGTAAATATCTTTAACACCACACATTCAAATAATTTTCTTGACAAGGCCTTACTTGCCAACAGTTCCTTGATATTCTGAACAATTATCAAATAAGCAATATTTATTTGTGTTATTTAATGTTTAATATAATATACCTACACCTACTTGCAGAAACGTTGTCATAGAACATTCGAATTTAGTAAAAAGGAATAAATTAAAACAAAACAAAAGAAAACGTTCAGCCTCAGTGATCTTCTTTTGTCTTTTTAATTTATTCCTTTCTACTAAAATACAATAAATGTCCTATTTTTTTATGACAACGTTTTCGCAAGTAGGTGTATAATAAACACTGCATTGTTGTCAACATTGATCGCAGTAGATCACAATACTAAAGAAACAACTTTTGTATGTTTTGTTGATTGCTATGGAGCACAATGTAACATGATTTCATGTCTAATCGACATACCTTTTGCTTGCACAAGATGACTTGTACACACAAAACACAGTACAAAGACGTACAGCATGCTAGCCATTATTAGCTGTCATTTCTTGGTATTCGCCATCTATGAAATAAAATTAACAGGATTGTAGTAAATTTTGATAATCAGAGAAATGAGTCAAAAAATTGCAATAATGCTCAAATTATAGAACACTAATTAAATGTTTGTTGAAGTTGTACAAACTGACAATGATAAAAGTGTCTTGTTGAAACTGTAGCACTTGTACACCTATYATTCTTGGTCTCCTTGCAGTTGCTTTTTGAGACTGGCTCCCTGTCGCATCCACAAAAAAAACATCTACGTGAAGACAAACTTACTGTTTAATAAAGCACGAATCTCTACTTATAATACTAATAATGATCTGGTTCATACAATTAGTAAAAACTGTCATTAGGCTGATAAATAAATTATTCATTTTTTTGTAGTCTGTTAACTAGTATTTTTGCACTAAAATTCTATGTAGGATACCATCGACTAGCTAGATCATAAATAAAAAAAAATAAAGTCTTTTATTTTGAGAGTGTAGCACATAATAGTCTCTAGACTAATAAACTTGTGCCCTTCTATATATTCACTCATACTCACTACCTCAACATTCTATGTACTTATTGAYTGAGTTGGAGGGCCGTACGGGAAAATATTTGGCTCGAGGTTATGCCGTACAAATGACCGAGAGCCAAATATTTTCCCGTACGGCCCGACCTAACTCAGTCAATAAGCATTTTATCATATGACAGCGTACAAATGACCGAGAGCCAAATATTTTCCCGTACGGCCCGACCTAACTCAGTCAATAAGCATTTTATCATATGACAGCGTTTTTTAATTTAAAAAAATAAATAAAAGCGCGCGGAACTTCAAGCCGGGAAAATACGGGTTTGTACGGACCTGTCGCGAAAAGGCGTACGGACCCCATCACGTGACCATTTTCCAAAGGTTTCAGTGAGAGCGAGCGTAGGGCCGAAATACGGGTCATATGATAAATTATTTTACTACACGACACTCCTCACAACTAGTTTTTGAATGAGGGAGGAAAACCAGTGTACCTAGAGAAAAACCCTCGGAGCAAGGAAGAGAACCAGCCTACAAACTCATATCACATATAGTCCTGGACCGGGAATCGAACCAGGACCACAGCTGTGATAGACCGGCGTTTTAAMCGCTCGGCCATCCTTGCTCCCCATCCTTGCTGACCCGTACACCAGCCAATCAGGGCAAAAGCAAACAAATATACCATATCAATTGAAGATATGATATGTAGATCACATGGTACTATGAAATGGAAAGTTATAGTGCTTAGAAGGAGGTTATGGCAGCCAAAAGACCTTTAAAAATAAATTCAGAAAAATTAATTTCTGAAATTGCTGGGATYTGAAGCCACAACCCCTGGATTTGTACTACTGATGTTCTGCCAGCTGAGCTACAAGATAGGCCAATCCACCCGGAATAACCTCATTCTACTTGTAACCATTATTCATTTATTTATTCATTTACTAGCTTTTGCCTTTAAAAAAATACAAACATCACCAAAAAAAAAACAATTCCTAAAATAAAACGATAAAATAAAAATAAAATAAAACGATAAAATAAAATAAAACGATCTATAATTATAACTTTCCATTATTTCCATTTCAAAAAAATTGAAGATTACCGTAATTGATATCAATAAAATACTGATTTTAACAGAAAATCAATTGTAGTTAAATCCATTTAATCAAAGCAATCAATAATAGTTATCCACGATGAAAAAAATCAGGAATCAAATAAGGGAGGTTATGTCATTGCAAGAACCATAAGAATTTAAAAAAAACATTAGCATAAATTCAGAAATTCAATGGTGCCTCGTGTAAGACTCAGGCTCATTGCTGCATAAATTAAACTATACATTGTGCGGTAATTAAGGTCAAATTTTGATGTTTTAAATATTCTTAATAGCTTGTGAATGGAGGAGAATATTTCATTGCATTCCAATGCAAGCGGGCAACGACACATCAATCAGATCAGCTTTGACATGTTTTTCAAGAATCGTGATTATCAAAGTCTTATATGAAGTCAAGCAATTCATTGTCAGCACGCTATTGTACTTACTCAAGTAGAGCAGAAAAGCGAAAAGTGTATTAAAAAGTGCAACACACATAACGAAAATAACTTAGCTAACTCACGATCCTCATAGCTGTGCCCAATAACTGTCAAACGTGCCAAGTTGTTTCAGATCAATAGTTTTGGTTTAATACAATACTTAATAAGCTATGT